TCTAGTCTGGTTTGTCTATGGTCTAATCTAAGAAAACATGTGCCCGGGCATGTTTCCTAGACGTAATAGGTGTCAGATTAGGACAAGTCAAAGACAATACAACCGAGCATTTGGCCCAAGGTTTACAAGCGTGATTGCATTGCTTGTTGTATTTTCGTTGCTATAGGTTCAGAACCATTAAATCTTGATTTAATTGTCGTCCCGGCTTCGGTAGTGTAGGAGAAAGAATTAAATCATGATTTAATTGTGCCGTGTAGGGAGCAGGACAGGCGTGGAATGGAGCGTCGCGCAACCTTCAGGGGCCAATAAAATCACAAGTAAATCGTGCGGGCCTGAGGGGTCAAAGATGGCCCGATGCTGAGCAACAAACTCAAGAGTCAGTTTTTTTAACTGTTGGATTCACTGCCTTCCCCTATTCCGCGGCGGCATGGGCATCGCGCTAGCATGGGGACACTCCTATATACTGTCCGGGGGGAGGAGGGGAGGGACGGGAGGGGAGGAGGGGAGGGGAGGGAAAGGGAGGGGAGGGCAGGGATGGTGGGGGAGGAGGGGAGGGGCGATTGTTTATGGGGTTCCACAAATCCTTTCTCTCACATCTGGCTCAGCACCAGCAGGTGTCGCGGGAAGCTTGCTTCTCCTTCATAACCGTCTCCAGGATTTGGCTCTTTCCAGAATCCGCTTTCATCGTTCAACTGCTGATGGGGCCAATCCCAAACTCCAAGAAGAGCTTTGATGCCGAACTTTCTCTTGTCCAACAGACAGTGGAGACGCAGATGACGTGATGAAACTTGAACGCCAACAGCACTTGTCGAGCTGCCTGGCATGACCAGATAAGACATACCACGACAGGACTCGTGACCACTGTCTATTGCTCACGAGAGGCAACTTTGGGAGGCACACTTGTTAAGTGACAGTTGTTAGAATGTGTGAGACACCGTGCGCTAACTTAGTCGAAAGCTATGCACGATAAACCTCCCAACAGCGACTTGAATCAGCATGACAGTCAGATCAAGGTTCCGGAACAGCACTGTATGGTTTTGAGTAGCTGATGCCGTGACCTTGAATGCTGTTGCCAATTCTGTCTTGATTTCACTTGTTCGCACAGCCGTGTGCGCTAATGCTTGCCTCGCCAGCTCAACTGGCGCGTTGATGCTGCTATGCAGGAGGAGGATGAGTTCGTCATTCCAAAGAAGCCACCACTCAGGCTGAATCGTTTGAGTGCTTCAGGGCAAGTTGAGATCTCCGCAAAACAGATTTCGTTCCGATTCGAGACGCTGACGGCTTCAGGTCTGAGTACAAGGAGGCAAAGGCTCGGGCTGAGGAGGCAGACCGCATCCGCAGCTTAGCAGCACCTGATCTTCAATCCGTGAGCACAGCAGCTGGGAGCCGACCCTTGGGAAATCCAAGCATGTCATGCCGACTGGTGAGCCTTATAACAACTTACCTTCCTGTGAACAAGCGAGCTCAGTGGTCCTGGATATTTTGCAGCTTTCAAGGCCTTCAGGAGGAAGAGATGAAGTCGGATTCAGAGGATGATCCTTCCAGCTCCTTGGCAGCACCGCACATCTCATTGCTGCGTGTTGCTTTCAGTCTTTACGCTGAGCCACAGCATTCAATCCATGAATTCCGAAGCGCGACCTAATCATCCCTGGATTGGAACCTCAAGTCGCAAAAGGGTTGGCGGTTGGCTCGCCTCCAGTCAACCACCGGCATGGTGCACAGAGCTTTGCGGCCAAGCTTTGCGGCCAAGTGTCCGTCCTTGTAGAAGCGTGCTTTCTTTGCCAGAAGCCCGAGCTGAGACCAATCGCACGTAGCATCCTGGTACGTAGCGCTTGCCCTAGTTGTGAGACTCCCAAAGATGTGTGCCGTGGCATAAACATGCAAACGGTGAGGGGCACTGCAAGTTGCAACCCCGATGCTGGTTTGCAACTTTGCAACTCAGCGAAGCTGTTGTGACACCGGTATGTTGTTACCTGAGAGACGCGACTTCGAAAGTGTGGAGCCTCACGTGAGCTGTGAGAACAAGTGTGAGCGGATTTTGGAAGCGGTCAACCCCAAAAGCCGTTTGGTGGAGAGCTGTGGTGAAACGTGTGTAAGGGCATTGCTCTTCCTGCAGTGGAAGTTTGATGCCCTTTGCAGTCCCCTGTGCTCATGCTCGGCCTCATGCAGTTGGTGTGTCGCAGTCCTCACCACGGCAGCTCTTAGGAAAAAACGCATGTAAAACAATAGGAATCAAAAACAAAGCGGCATGCCATAGCGAAGCTTGCGGTGCTCTTTGTGCAAAGGTGATGAGGATGAGTTCGAAAACCGGCGCATCCATTGCTGGGTCTTGGTGCGGAAGGGTTCTCGAGAGGCCGACATGCCGCCTTTCCTGTCCCTGGCGAAGTGCACAGCTCGTGTCGTCAGCCTTTTTCAGCCGCGGTGTATGCACACTACCCAACTCCGGACGTTGCCATTTGCAGGTTGCTGAAGACATGTACCTCGAGCCGACCACGGGTCGCATCTACTCTGTAAAGCGCTGTCCATACCTCAAGATTGACTTGATCTGGAACCACCGCAACCTGTGGGTCAACATGCAGGCCATGGTGGCTTCTCGGCTTTGCAGTGCCTGAGCACAACTGTGAAATGCAGGTATGTGGAGCCTCGCATGTTCAGCTTGATCTCTACAACTCTCGCTACTTCGAGTACGTGATGCCGGGGGCTTGTGCCCACTCTTGTGAAGATAGCGCAAATGGGTGGAAGCACCTGCGACCCCAATCGGGGCCCCTCCGAGGCTCGACGCCGACAATCCAGGAAGCGACCTGGGAAGTGGCGGAAGATATGAGGGCGACGACACAGGTGGGGCCGTACTGGCCGTACGGATCATCCGTTGAACTTTGGGATCTTGGGCTGCTCGCTTGGAGGTCCGACTGCCGTCCCATCTGCAGGCGGCAACGACTCGGACGAGAGCCGAAGGGCGGAGCAAACGGCACAGTGGCTTTGCTTGCGTTTTGTTTGTCCTGCCGGCCTGCTGCTCTTGCTAAGCTCTCACCATGCCTCGGCCGGGCAGGATATTGGACCTGCCATCACCCTGGAGCGAGCGACCGGATATTCCCCGCGAGAAGTTCCATGCACGTTGCTACCAAGGGGACCCTCAGCGAAAACTAGTCAGAAAGTTATGCTATGTTTGTCTAGTATCGCACATGAGTGCGATCTCTGTTGTCAGGAGAAGACGATTTTCTACCACAAGTGCAAGGTGGAGCAGTATGCGCCATACACGCAAGATGATGGCCTAGTGCAGCGCATTACCCTCTACAAGGCATCGACCAAGTGTTCCGAAAAGTCTTCTGCTCGACATTGCGCTTTCCGTGTCAAGACCAATGCAGGACGTGCGCCGGCAGATTCCCTTGGAGATCCGTGAGCGATTCAAGCATCGGAAAGATAAGCTTTTTGAGCGCAAACGTCGGCCCATGCAGAATGCCCCTTGACGGCTTCAGCTGTCATGACTTTTCTGTGCCCTCGACTTGGCGGCTTCACGAAGCAGCATTGTTCGGCCAGTGCTTTAGCAATTTTTGGATCGCCGAGGAGACGCTTGAGCGATTTCTTCCGGGGCGGCCCTCCACATCTGCCTCAAATGCGGGTGGTGCTCTCAAGGAGTACCGAGAGGTCAGTGGAGCGACTGGGGCGGGTGCGGTCCATGTGTGAGTTGTCGGACATGCCTTCGCTGACTGGGGCCCGGATGTAGACTGGTATTTGAGTCTCTGTGTTCAGTTGTGCAGTCCCTTCTTTCCTGCCGAGAGCTGCATATCGGTTTTCGGACTTTTTTCACATCAACAATTGTATACTAGAAGATAGAGAGGATATCGGAAAGCAACGGGCGACAAGAAAAACAAGTTCGGAAACCAAGGAGGGCGATGTCAGAAAACAGCCGGACAGAATCACACAGCCAGAATCAGAAAACAGCACAGACGAAATCGGACAACAGAATAGAATCGGAAAGCAAGACTCAGAAAACAACACAAACACAATCAGAAAACAGGAGAGAGAAAATCAGAAAACTAAGCAGCATAACCACGCCTCTGTTTTGCCCACAAACCCGGAGGTGAAGGAAGGCCGCGCTCCTTTCACTCCTCGGTTTTGGCCAGAAACAGAGAGGTGAAGGAAGGCCGCACTCCTTGCATCCCTCTGTTTTAGCCACAAATCGAGTGGTGAAGGAAGGCCGCGCTCCTTTCACCCCTCGGTTTTGGCCAGAAACCGAGAGGTGAAGGAAGGCCGCGCTCCTTTCACCCCTCGGTTTTGGCCACAGACCGAAAGGTGAAG